ATTTGGATTCCACTAGCAATGCTGCCCCAGCTGTGTTGAACTTCTTGTATGTATTATGCTATACATTTACTGACATAAACAGTAACACATTAACATATACATTTAACAAAAACCACAAACCGAAAATGCTGTATAGTATATACACAGTACATGTAACATAACTGAGTTAGCATAGTGATTGGCACCTTTAACTTTGCATTTCCAAATTTTTGATTAGTTTAACTGTACAACCTTAACATTTCATACATTTTTTTTTGCATTTAATTTGCTAGGAGTTAAAAATAATCTTTAAGTTGCCATAAACATTTAAGTCACCGCATATGCTGAAAATGACACCCTTATAAGTGCTTTAAATATTTACGGCAACATAAAAGTATTTAAGTGACTTGAAATCTTTCAGATGATGGCACATCTTTAAATTTTTGGGACAGTTTAAAGGCTCATGCCATGTAAGATAAAATCTTTTTATCAATTTTGAGTTCTGCAATGGTGAAAAATATACACATTCTCCTTCAGAAGAAAAATGTCCACCACTTTCATTACACAGTGACTTTGAAAAATGGTAAGTCAAAAGCCACTGAAGTGTATGGTCACAACCAAGACTGAAAAAAGTGTGTGATAAAGTTATGAGCAATTGAAAGTTGGCTTCTGCACATGTGTAATACTAAAGATCCCACAGAAACTGAGATCAAGGTATATCTTATTATTTATATTATTGAAGCCCCTAGGAGCCCTAATCATGGTCCAGGATCCCACTGCACTAGGTGCTGTACAAACACAGAATGGTATCTGTTCTCCCCTTCAAAATAGGGTGTCAATCAGCTCACTCTAACAGCTGCTATCAGTTGTTAGCAGGGGCTTTCAGCTTGCTGGCCTCTCACTGCACCCTGGTTGTATCTGGTGCTTGGAGACCACCAAGTTTTAAAAGTAATCCCCAGGAGCTGAAATGGCTGGTGTGTAGATGGGAGGGGATTTAACAGAGGAGTCATTTGGAGTTGAAATTTGGAGTCATTTGGAGCCCTCTGTGGAGATAGAGGTGGTTAGGGACTATTTAGAAAAGCTGGACGTGCACAAGTCCATGGGGCCGGACGAGTTGCATCCGAGAGTGCTGAAGGAACTGGCGGCTGTGATTGCAGAGCCATTGGCCATTATCTTTGAAAACTCGTGGCTAACCGGGGAAGTCCCGGATGACTGGAAAAAGGCTAATGTAGTGCCAATCTTTAAAAAAGGGAAGAAGGAGGATCCTGGGAACTACAGGCCAGTCAGCCTCACTTCAGTCCCTGGAAAAATCATGGAGCAGGTCCTCAAAGAATCAATCCTGAAGCACTTGCATGAGAGGAAAGTGATCAGGAACAGCCAGCATGGATTCACCAAGGGAAGGTCATGCCTGACTAATCTAATCGCCTTCTATGATGAGATTACTGGTTCTGTGGATGAAGGGAAAGCAGTGGATGTATTGTTTCTTGACTTTAGCAAAGCTTTTGACATGGTCTCCCACAGTATTCTTGTCTGCAAGTTAAGGAAGTATGGGCTGGATGAATGCACTACAAGGTGGGTAGAAAGCTGGCTAGATTGTCGGGCTCAACGGGTAGTTATCAATGGCTCCATGTCTAGTTGGCAGCCGGTATCAAGTGGAGTGCCCCAAGGGTCGGTCCTGGGGCCGGTTTTGTTCAATATCTTCATAAATGATCTGGAGGATGGCGTGGATTGCACTCTAAGCAAGTTTGCAGATGACACTAAACTGGGAGGAGAGGTAGATACGCTGGAGAGTAGGGATAGGATACAGAGGGACCTAGACAAATTGGAGGATTGGGCCAAAAGAAATCTGATGAGGTTCAATAAGGATAAGTGCAGGGTCCTGCACTTAGGACGGAAGAACCCAATGCACAGCTACAGACTAGGGACCGAATGGCTAGGCAGCAGTTCTGCGGAAAAGGACCTGGGGTGACAGTGGACGAGAAGCTGGATATGAGTCAGCAGTGTGCCCTTGTTGCCAAGAAGGCCAATGGCATTTTGGGATGTATAAGTAGGGGCATAGCGAGCAGATCGAGGGACGTGATCGTTCCCCTCTATTCGACATTGGTGAGGCCTCATCTGGAGTACTGTGTCCAGTTTTGGGCCCCACACTTCAAGAAGGATGTGGATAAATTGGAGAGAGTCCAGCGAAGGGCAACAAAAATGATTAGGGGTCTGGAACACATGAGTTATGAGGAGAGGCTGAGGGAGCTGGGATTGTTTAGCCTGCAGAAGAGAAGAATGAGGGGGGATTTGATAGCTGCTTTCAACTACCTGAAAGGGGGTTCCAAAGAGGATGGCTCTAGACTGTTCTCAATGGTATCAGATGACAGAACGAGGAGTAATGGTCTCAAGCTGCAGTGGGGGAGGTTTAGATTGGATATTAGGAAAAACTTTTTCACTAAGAGGGTGGTGAAACACTGGAATGCGTTACCTAGGGAGGTGGTAGAATCTCCTTCCTTAGAGGATTTTAAGGTCAGGCTTGACAAAGCCCTGGCTGGGATGATTTAACTGGGAATTGGTCCTGCTTCAAGCAGGGGGTTGGACTAGATGACCTTCTGGGGTCCCTTCCAACCCTTATATTCTATGATTCTATGATTCTATGAAAAGAAACGTACAAAAAAGCTGTGACTGAGGCCAAAAAACATTACTTGTCCTCAGCCATTTGGAGTCTTAGTCCTTTGCACAATCTGATTATTCTGGTCTGCCTGTTTGTAATTTCTTCAAATGACTGCTGTGAGGAGATGTTTTAAGTAGATTATTATTATTTTTATTTGTAAATATTTATATTATGATGGCACCCAAAGGCTATTTAGTTCTAGGGTGGTCTCTGGCATTTCTGTTTGAGGGACATTTGCTTTCATAATTAAACATAAATTTGTTTTCTGATGGATGCATCTGTTGCCCTCTTGGTTTCTTGAGGGCCATCACTTGTGGTCCTGATCCCTATTCACATTGGTGTCTCAAAGCAAGTGTCACCCATGGTAGTCATGGTATCAGTATTGAGAGGCACTGCTAACACCTCACTAAGCAAGGAGAGGGTGCTGACAATTCTTAAACACACTAAGGTCTAACCCCTCTTCAAGATACTTTCCTTTGATGTGGCAGTACTTACTATTCAATCCTGCAAGATCTTAAACTTCACCACCTTTGGAGACGTGGTTGAGAGGGCAAAGCTTGTCAACTCCATGTGCATCTGGACACCACCACCCTGGCAGATTCCATTCTGGGTTCCAGCATTCCATTGGGATGACCCTTGTCATGGTCATGAATTATCTTTTGTTAATTTGAGGTCAACTGGCATTTATTCTCATGCTGGACCTCTCAGCAGATTTTGATTCCATTGATTATGGGTTGCTGCTTCAACCTGCAGCAACCAACCTGCAATTGTTCCTTTCATACCTAGAAAACTGACCTCAGTGTTCCCCTCCATCCTTCCTGTATTTCTCTCCCTTTTCCTCCCTTCCTTCCTTTTCCTACTATTTGTGTGCTTCTGTTACATCATCTCCTTCCCCCCTCACCGTATTCCCCAAATTTATATTTTAAAAAACAAGAAAATAGTGTTTTAAAAAACATATGTAGTTAACATCACATAGCCTCTTATCACTGATTACAGCTTGTGTGCTCAATTCCTTTTCTTTCACTCTTCATTTGTCTATTTAGTTTGTAAACTCTTCAGGGAAACCTCAGTCTTTTAATATGTTTGTAGGATGCTTACCCCTGATCTGATTGGGGCTACTGGAATATAAAAATAATAATAATCAGTGCTAGGCAGTTGTTTGCTTTCACCAAAAGATTTGAATTGGCATCTCCATCAAATGATTGGACGGTATCAGCATGGCTGTAGGCCTCAATCCAGGTTGGCAGCATTCGGGAGGAATCTACTCTCTGCCTTAGTTCCAGATTAGAAATTTAGATGCTTTAGGCTGTTTTGAAAGCTTTAGGAGCTATTGGTTGACAGTCTGATATTTCTGGTGGACTGCAGCTGGCATGAGAGGTCAAGGACTCAGGGGGAGAGGCAATTTCTCGAGTTGCTTGGGCTGATTCCACTGAGAGCTTGAATATGAAGCTGGAGACCTTAAATTGGACTCTTTATTCAATGGCAAGCCAGCTGAGTGACTGGAGCACCAGAATGACGTACACATAGCAACCTGAGCTGCTGAGCATTTTGTTACAGGTAAAGTTGTAGTAGTCTGAATTTCCTGTCTCCTTTGCAGATACTGTAAATTCTCAACAATGATGTTGCATTAACACTAAATTTTTGCAGTGAATTTTGTAAATGTTAAATAACTTGATATTGCAAAGCACTATTGACAACTTCTTGCTGCAGGCTCTGGCTTCGTTAGCCAAGCTGTATATCCGTTTTGTCTGACATCTGCATTTTCAGTCTGTTGGCACTCAGCCCATTATTTGCCATTGCCCCCCCCCATTGTATTAGCTGTGAGAAACAAAGAGAAGCTTATAATAGGAACACATGGTAGTGCAAGGGTAAGAAGAGACCAGCACATAACAACTGTACAGTATACCTTCTAAATTACATTTTGGTTTAAAAAAAAAATCTGTGTTCTACTGGTTGCCAAGTTTCCCTTTTCATATCCATTAGCATTTTAACTGTACATTCAGACTCGTCATGGCCATCACATTGTTTTAAAATTATCATACAGAGGGAAATAATCCGCTATGATCTCTTTTGTTTATAGGCTGTGTTTTGTGTTGAATTTGGTGTTATAGCCTCTTACCCATATCCAGCTGCTGCTTTATCACATCACTTACAAACTGTTGCAATATTTTGACCTCATACACAGAATTCTTCTGTAGTTTCATGAATATCCTCTCTTCACATACTGAAGTCACTAGGAGCTGTAGTACCTATCACCACTTTTATTTTAGGAGCCTAAATATGGTTTTTGGCACTGAGCTTCAGGCACGCATGTTTGGAAAACGTAGGCCAAGATTGAAATAACATTTAAACAAATAACAGGAAATATGTCTGATGACTGTTTAATTCTTTTTTGTTATCGTTAACACCTTTTTAACTTGAATCACTAACAATATTCTTTCTCCAAAACAGTAAAGATTCACCATCTTCCATCCGTTAAGTTAGAGTGTAAGAGTTAACAATGTACATTCTTTGAGATATCAAGTGGATCTTACAGCAAAACTAGGGACGAGCAGAGTTGATATTCCTGGCATTTAAGATAATGAGCAGAACAATCTTTATTAAAGGAAAAAGTTTTCTAAGTAAAAAAGGGAACAAGTTCAATTAAAAAAAATCACTTGCAGAGCACCTTTGAAGGGGAAAACCTTTGTTTCAATCTCCTCTTTAATTAGTTCACCCCTTGTTTCCAGCAATGCCCTGTTTCTGCAGACTGATGTTTTCCTTTAGGTGTTTCCTTTATGTGCTGTTGTCTCTTGCATTCTGTTCTGAGAGTGAGAAAGAAAGGATAGAAACAAATAAAAAGAAGTGCTGGCCACCATAGAACATATTTAACAAGATGGGACATGAGTGTATGACAGAAGGGTAGCTAAAACCCTTACTCAAAAGGGGAAGTCATACCAACCCTATGGGTAAAGTAGCCATTTCAAAGGCTGTAAAGTATACTTATCTGAAACCAATGCCTGTGCCAGCTCTCCTTAATGGATCAACCTGAAAGAGCTCAAATCCTAAATTCTCTTTCCACCTACATTACTGTTAAGGATAGGTGAACTCATTTTATCTAACTTTGAACACACGCATACATAAAACGTATCTGTTTTCAGTTCTATGGAGTGGAACAGGGTAGGAAGAGGGAAAAGGTTGAGAAAAAATTAATGAAAATCTATGGGTAAAATAGAATTGAGCGGAAGCAGTGACAGACAGAAACTGAGAGGGGGAGGGAGCGAGGAGTACAGAGGGGAAAAGAGGCAAATTGAACAACAAAAAAAAATAATACAGGATCTATATAAGTGCATATACTTTAGGGCACAACTTGTCTCAGCTTAGCTTTTACAGATGGTTTTCCTTTTCTTTTCCAAATATCATGTAGGTTCACAATCTTTTCTTTAATACAGCTAAGGAAAAAAGTTTAAAATACAGGGAAAAGGGTTGCAAATTCAAACTAGTTTTGTACATCTCATTTTGACAGATTCCCAAAATCCAAAATTGTGCGGAATTGGGTAGCCCCTCACTACTATATTAGGAGTCTGTCACATTACTTTTCATACGCAAGGAGTTCTAAAGCTCGTACATGTATTACAGTAGATGCCATACTGATAAAGGAGTGACTGTGTGGCAAACAGAATAGTCATTATACTCTCAAAATTGTACTCTCGCAGCTTTGGATAGAACATATTTTTTCAGGAGAAAAAAAATATTCACCGGAGCTCTGAAGTTATCTGGTACTTTTTCAAAAAAGTGCCTGTGCATAGATTACCCCATGAAGATTGTTTTTTGTGATATGGTGGGAACAATAAAGTAAGATAATATCTTGTTTGCCTCTCACAGTTACATTTTAGTTTTCCTTGGCCCCAATTATTTTCTAAGGATTTCCATCCTACTATGTAGCTGTTGTTTTGGATACTTCTCTGAGTACATTAGGTTGATTCCCCCCATCTCTTTTTGCTTACTGTCAACTGTCTTGCATCCTCTATTTTTTGTGTTCTTTTCTTGTAGGGTGTTTGCATCTATCCCTTCAGTACTTTCGTACTAGCTGCAAACTTACCTTGTGTGTTGTGCCTTTACCTGGTAAAGCAGTTCCTTTTCCCTTCTCAGTTGTCTTTGCTAAAGTAATGTGAGTACAAAGCATGTATTCTATCACCCTTCACCTGAAAGTATGACATGTTCAAAAATGTGCCCTAGGTGGACATTTTACATGGAGACATAATTCAGATACAAAATTCCCAGACAAAACTTTTGTTACATTGTTGTTGTATGTAAGAATAGCTGGGGATGGGAGGAAACATTAACAGACTGAAAATTAAGAAATTGAAAGTTAAGGTTACATTTAAAACCTCCTCTTTTTCTCTCTCCCAAGTAGTGGAGAGAAAAAAATGCAGATTTAAAATACTCCAAACAACTTTAATTCTGTCCCAGGCCCTTGCCACTCTGTGCACCATTCGTGATAGATAGGAATTTATGACAAGTATCACAATATCACAAGAAGGTGACCTGTTATAACTCCAAGTATCTTCATGTCTTGATCAAAGGCCTAGTGGTTGAGACCTCTTCAATACTCTTATTATTTTTTTAAGAGCTGACACTGTGTTTGGAGCTATATAGACACAAAATTAAAACAGTCTTTACTCCAAAGAGCTTACCATCTAGGACCTCAATCATGTATGATCTCCATGGGGACGTAACCCCACTAAAGTTGATTCACATGTGTAAAATAAGTATAATGGTAACTGCCTCCCCAGTATTAGTTTTTTTGTAATGTACTTTGAGTTCTGTGGATAACAGATACTGTTCAACTACAAAATATCATTATTAAAGTCAGAGGATGGCAGAGTGAAGACTACAGAGTTCAAGAATCCCAGCCCCCTTGGTCAGTCCACTAAAGATTCAGGAAAACCACAGCTGGTTTGCACCTTATAAAAACTGCATTGGCACATGCAGAACAGCCTAAAATTTGCAAAAGCCAGAATAAATAAGTGTTTTCTAAATAATTTCCACCCAGCCTTTCCAAAAACAGTCAAAGTACTACAAAGCATCACTAATGCCAACTAACAACCCAAACATTGAGTTTCTAAACAGATGTTTGAGATTTAATATTTCAAATAATAAAGTAAAACAGTTCTCAAAGAGTCAAATATTGCTAACTTTTCACGCTATCTAGCTTTTGGAAACAAATCTCCTTTGGTAGAGAAACACAAAAAAACTCGGATGGATTGGTTTGATTTGGATGAAATAGGGTGGTGAGCAAAAGTGCATGTGTTAGCTGTGACAACTTGACCTATGGAGAGACAAGTATCTGTATGATCAAAACTCTTACCTGATGAGATTTTTTCATTTAAAATATATAGCAGATATTTTTTTCTATACAGAAGCGTCTATCATATTCCTACATATTATTTAAGATCATGATATTCAGAAAGAATGCTTACATTTTATCTATGATATTAAATAGTCCTAAAGGAACTGAAAATAAGCACTCACAGGAACTATTAATTCATACAAACAACGAAGAGTAAGGTTGTGCAAAAATCTGACACATAGTAGGCAAGCTCTATTATTGACTCATGTATAACTTGACATTTTGCCTAAATATTGCATCATCTGCTGATCTCCCATGCAATACCTAGGTTAACTGGAGAGCGTGGGGAGTGAAGTTTCTCATTCTTCCCAAAATCTTGGAGTGGGAAAACATTCTGTTACAATTTTGCCAACCCTAACATTACGCATTGTTAGTGCATGAGTATCCGAAAGTGAAATTGAATAGAAGTAAAAGTGAAATTGACCAGTCTTTTTATTTTCAGAGCTGAAAAATGAAAAAAAAAATCATATAATGTGTGATTACTACACTAAGGAAGTGTTTTTAATATGCTTACCATGACTGTATTCCATTTTAAATATGAAAAAAGTAATGTACTAAAGCTTCATTCTGCTTTTATTGAAGTCAATAGGAATTTTGGTATTGACCTCAGTGGGAGAAGGCTCACTGTGTGCAAAATTCAATTTATCGGAGTTACAGGTACACAGGAACAGCATGTGTATTTCATGAGGTTATAGGTACACAAAAATAACATTCAAATGTCCTTTCCTTTGATTGTCTTTAAAAACAGTTTGCCTATTTTTAAGTCCTTTCAGTGGCATTTATTAGTTTCAGCATAATTTTCTGTAACCGTTCTGTTATAAGATTCTTAAAATGAGGATTTAGTATGGAAATGATCAGCTGCTGAAGGGAAAGAAGCTACTGTAATAAAACCTTCCCTGCTATTTTCCAAAGCTATTTCAAAGTGCTCTTCTTTTAAGAACCTTTCCCAGCTGTGTGTGAACATAGAAGATGACCTCTTTCAATCTTTTAAAATATGGCCCTAATTTGTAAGAATCCTCACTGCAAAGATGCAAGCATGGGAGGCTGGCACCCTTTAAATAATATACTATGTAACTTGCAGTTTTCCAGAGATGCCCTCAGAGAGGATACTAACTTAAGATGAGTTGTACAATAGTAGCAATAACAGAATGTATTTATAATGTGACGTTTTGCTACAATGAATAAGTAATGGAAGCAGTCTCCCTACATCAAAAAAAAAACCTGTCAGCACAAAAAACAGTAATACTATTCTACAATCAAGGCTGCCCCTTAAGTAACACCACCCATAGCAGCTGCTCTATTTTTGGTCTCAGGGGAGACTTGCCACCAGTATGTAACCAGGACTATAGGACCCTGTGTTTCTATGGGCCTCTGCCACCTCTGCTGTCCACAGGCCCGTGCTGCTTCTAGGGTCACTTTTGAATTACCAAGATTGGGGGGGGGGGGGTGAGGGAAGATAGGGGCACTGCAAGTCGGAGGGCACCTGAGTACAGTTCCTCTCGTGGAAGAGAACTGGGGCAACTTTTTAAGTCACTTCACAGAGGACCCTGCAAAACCTAGGGCCAACTTCACACATAGTATGATCAAAATAAGGAATAGTAAGATCTTTTTACCCTCTTGTTTCGGGCTCAGGAAACAATTACAGTGTTGTGGCCAGAGCAGGTGTCAGAGAATGGCTGTAAGCCTATTACTCGAAGTTGGACTTGGCACTTATCCAGTCATTTCCAGGAAAGCTGTTAAAATGAAAACAAACTCATTAGTTTTCTATCACACAGCAAGTGAGCAGCTCAAAGCCCAGTCCACTCCTCCATGGGTGCGTTGCCAAGTCCTAGGCTGGGGGCTCGGGTGCTGTAACTGCTGGGTAGCTGCCACTCGGCACCTATCTTGGGGCATCCCTTGCCCGACACCTGCCGTGTACCCGCAGTCTAGCGCAGCCTGATCCGGGTACAAGTCTTCACACGGGGGTGCCTAAGCGAGGCCGGCCCCTTGTGCACCTGGGCACTCATGCCCTGCCCTAATGCTGGGGTTTGCTGACGGGCGGGGCAGGCTGAAGCAGGGCGAGCGCGTTACGGATCCTTGCCACCGCCCCCTATTTTCCAGCGATGCAGGTGCCCACATACTGGGGAGCCGTCCGCATTCTGACAGACGAGCGCAGCAGGTGCTGTAACAGCCTCTCGCCCCGCCCTGCCCCCTGCAGCCCAGGGGCCACCTTCCCTGCCAGGGCTCCTTCGCCCGGCCCTATCCCAGCGCACCCTGCCCGGGCCCCTCCCCTCGGCCTCACCCGCCCACCCATGGCGCAAGCCACTCTCCCTGACCGCTTCCCTTCCCCCACCGTGCGTTGCACGTCAGGGGCAAGCCCCCCGCCCAGCCTGAGGCCTCCCCCCCAACCGGCGATGTCAGCATGCGCGAGCAGGAAGCCAACCGAGGCTGATATCGCAAGCCGCAATCGGATTGGCTGGGCTGGTGGGGGGCGTGGCGAAGTTAGGGGGTAGCTATTGCCTAGGAAACCGCCCTCCCTCTCACCTCGGCTCTAGGGTGTCCGCGCGTACGTATGCCGAGGCCTCGCGGTTCCATGTGAGTTACTGGTAACGGGCCACTCAGTTGCTGCCGCGCTGGCTGGGAGGCGGCGGCTCAGAGGCAGCAGCTGCTGCCGCCGCCGCCTCTGCCCGGGCAGGTGAGTGACTGCGTGAGGCGGGCGGAGAGGACCTTGTGCGTGTCCGCGTGAGAGCGGGAACGGCGTGTGAGTGCAACGTCGCCCCCGCCCCCCCCCCCAACGACCGGGACCGCGCTTGGGCTGCGGCTGGCGGTGACTGCCCGGAGGGAAGCTGCCGCCGGGGCGCGGCGTGTGGACGGTTCCTACCCGAGCTTGGGCTTTGCCGAGGGCCGGGGCGCGGAGCTAGGGCGGTGTGAACGAGAGAAGTGGCTGCAGCAGTGTCTCGCTGCGCTATAGAGACAAACGGGGGAGTGGGGCCGAGGCCCCCTCCCTCCTTCCCTACCCCTCCCCGGGGGAGAGCTCACAAGTGACACAATGAAGCCTCCTTCCTCTCTTCCCTCCCGCCCAGGTTTGGCAGATCTAGGGCTGGTTTTCAATCCCTTCTCCAGCTGGTGCTCAAATCCTTTTTGCAGGGTAGTGGCTGCTCCCTTCCCTGTTTTCCCGGTGGTAGCAGCGAGCCAGTGTGCAGGGGACGGGGAGAGGAAAAGGGCATTTTTCAGCTTCCTTAAAAAAAATTGCAACACTGGAGTTGCTCAACAGACACGATAGTCAGATATCTGCCCTCTTCCTGGCACTGGCGAATTTTAGTCACATCTTGGTCTTTATCAGTTAGGGGGAGAGGAGATGGTGCATAGGACTAAACCTTCAGATGGCTTTGAATTACTCATTAAAATAGGTGGGAGTAGTTTGATCTGTGAGAGAGAGGGGGAAGATAAGATTACTTAAGAGTTAACATGATCTGAAAGGTCTTTTGCAGTGTGTCGATCTGTTTAAAACCTTACAAGTATCATTTACTTTTAAAGTTCAAAAATTAAGTGGCCCCAAGTCCCAGTGAAGATTCTTGTAGATAGATGGAAAAGCTCTCACCTCTTGGGGTGTGTGTATTTACTGCAGTGACAGGGGAAAAACCTCTTCCATCACTGTGGCAACATCTACGCTACAGCAGCATAGCTACAGCCCCACAGCTGTGCTGCTGTCACATTTGTAGTGTAGCTGTACCCTTTGAAATGACAGGGGGGAATGGTGCTGTTCCTTCAAAACCTCTGAAACCTTAAAGGCAACTTCAACTGTGTGATGGCTATTTAAAAGGGTCCTTTTATGATTTGTTATTTATTAGTAGAGCCTAATATTACCTTTTATGCTTCAAAAAAATTCTTTGATGTAGCTTCTGCATATTCATACTGCCTCCCTCTAGTGCTCCTGAACTTCAGGGACCTTCAAGAAAAACAGTGCCTGTTGGGATCACTTGAGTGACCCGCCCTCTGCAGCACCAGATGTTCTGAGCCAAATTTATAAGTGGTCATGCAGTCTCCAACTGCTGCAGTTCTTTCTGTTTTATGGCCTTTTGCAGGCATAGGGGTCTTTACTTCATGCCCAGAGAATTTTTTTCCAACCAAGAATTTCTTGTTAACCTGTTATGGCTTCCTTCCAGGCAGGCACATGGCTTTATGTGGTGTGGGGAACCATAGTTTTAGAAAGTTGGTAGGTAGTAGTTTCTGTGGCATTTAGATTCTTGGACTGTCTGTAGCTTGACTCCAGGACACCATGTCCTATCCAGGCCCTAAGGACCTGAAGGGAGAGAAACAGGTTTACAAAATGTTTATTTTATGCCCTTCTTTTTTCTGGAGTCAGATGCACATTGCGATGGAATGCACCCGTGTTCACACCCTACACGCTATTGTAATAATCTTTGTACAAGGTATGCCTTGTGAGGTGTCATTTGAAAACTCATAACTTGCTGATCAGTAGTATCATGGTTAGGGCCCTGCCAAATTCATAGTCCATTTTTGTCAATTTAATGGTCATAGGATTTTCAAAATCATAAATTTCATGATTTCAGCTATTTAAATTTTAAATTTCACAGTGTTGTAATTCTGGGTTCCTGACCCAAAAAGGAGTTGTCTGCCTTCAGAGCTGGGCAGCTGGAGAGTGGTGGCTGCTGGCCGGGAGCTGAGCACTGAAGAGAGAGCCGCCAGCAGCAGCAGCAGCATAGAAGTAAGGATGGCATGGTATGGTATTGCCATCCTTACTTCTGCGCTGCTGCCTGCAGAGCTGGGCTCTCAGTCAGCAGCTACCACTCTTCAGCCACCCAGCTGTGAAGGCAGCAACGCAGAAGTAAGGGTGGCATGATATGGTATTGCCACTTCTGTGCTGTTGCTGGCAGGGTGCCGCCTTCAGAGCTGGGCACCTGGCCAGTAGCCGCGACTCTCTGGCCGCCCAGCTCTGAAGGCAGCACAGAAGTGAGGGTGGCAATACTGCAACCTCCCTAAAATAACCTTGTGACTCCCCCACCTCCGCAACTCCCTTTTGGGTCAGGACCCCCAATTTGAGAAACGCTGGTCTCCCCTGTGAAATCTATATAGCATAGAGTAAAAACACAAAAAAATCAGATTTCACAGGTGGAGACCAGATTTCATGGTCTGTGACACATTTTTCATGGCCGTGAATTTGGTAGGCCCTAATCATGGTAAAATGTGCGTAACAGCTTTATGCGTAAAGTTGTTGTAAATTTCCCTTGTAAGATATTAAAAATACATGTTCAGACTCACATAGCACCAAACTAGTCAAACACACCTGTCTTGAACAAAGGAGTGTATGCTTGTCTTAACTTGCATTTAAGTAGTAAACAGAGTAATCAAACAGAAAAGGGGAAGGGAGAAAACAGAGCTCATGCAGGTGAAAAAACCCAGCAGGGAACATCCTTCTATACAAACTCTTTGTCTCCTGGTTCTCAGCTGGAAAAGTTTTTCGGGGGGGGGGGAGACTAAAACTATAAAAAGGAGGGGCAAACATGTCAAGAGACCCCTGTCTCTCTCTCTCTGCCCATCTCCTTCTTTGCAGCTAAGTAGACAAAACAGCCAGTGGACTCTGGAGGAAGGGATCCTGACCTGAAGATTTTGGTCAGTAATGCTGTTGGAAGCATGTGGCGAGAAACTTTGCTTTGAATCTAATATAATTTAAGCTAAGTAGTGGAAAGCATTTTTATCTTTTTCTTGCAGCGATTTCTGACTTTTATGCCCCATTGGTTGTACTCACTTAAAATCTGTCTGTGTTGTTAATAAACTTGTTTAATCCACTATGTTTAAGTTAGTGTGTCTGGGTAACATTTTTTTAAGGTAACAAGCTAGTGTATGTTATTCCCTTAAAGGAATAATAGACTGAATACATTTGAACTGTTCAGGAAAGGGCTGGGCAGTAAATAATATACATTTCTGGGAGGGCTGGGAGTCACCTTGCATAAGTAACCAAGGCTTGTAAAAGCCAGAATGTAACCCAAGTGTTGCTGGCACTTACAGTTACACACAGACACCCAGGATGTAGCTTGCATGCTGGAAGGTTGTTTGAGCTGCTCAGGAGGAAGCTACTTCAGCAAGGCATTGTAGGGCACCCCAGGTTGCAGGGCAAGGGTGATACAGCATCCCACTGGTCTGGACTGCACCCCAGGTGTCACACACAGTACCTGCTGTCTGTTACATCTCAGGGGGAGCCTATTCTCAGAAAAGTTCCTTGGCATGCTGTGCCTTTATGGCACCTTGGCACCAGGCATTCCTCTTGACCAGGGGTTCGCAAACTGGAGGTCGGGACCCCTCAGGGGGTCATGAGGTTATTACATAGGGGGTTGCAAGCTGTCAGCCTCCACCCCAAACCCCACTTTGCCTCCAGCATTTATAATGGTGTTAAATATATTAAACAGTGATTTTAATTTATAAGCGGGAGGGTCACACTCAGAGGCTTGCTATGTGAAAAGAGTCCCAGTACAGAAGTTTGAGAACCACTGCTCTTGACTGCCCTGCATTCCAGACCTTTGGCTCCATCCTCAAGTTGGGATCCTGTTTCTATGCAAGGATGGCAGGGACAGATCAACCTCAAAAATCCATTAAATGGGGAAGCAGAAGCCCTTGGTGCCAGGATCAATGTTGTTATCTAGCTCTAACTCACCTGAGCAGTTAGGGTATGGTTCTGTGGTTGCTCCAGCACCAAAGAAGCTGGCTTCATTGCCAAAGTTAATCAGTGCTGGGAAGTCTTCATTGTCAGGGACTTTGGTGTTGTCTTTTCAGCTGACCAGTGTTGTTTCCCGTAGAATAATGGACTCTCTGAGTTCTTGGCTAACTGGGCTTTTGTTGGTGCTGAGCTCCCCTTACCTCCAGGGTTTCACTAGGGCCCAATGTTTAGGGAAACTTTGCATCTGCCTAAGGATAAAAAGAACTTGAGCTTAGAGGGAACTCTGTACCAGGGGACCCGGTGCTATCACAGAAGTTGAAGAAACATTATAGATTCAAGGGGCACATGGGCAGATCAGTGTTTTCCGATTCAGTTTTCTCGGTTCTGAGGGCATCTCTGGTTCCTTTTTAGTATTTCCAATTGAGCTCCCCCTTCTTTTGTGGTTGTTGCTGGATCCTCAGTGCCAGAATGCTTCCATCTTCTGCATGGTGCCATCATAGTTAGAAATGAATGTGAGTTTAGTGGTTGTGTTGTAGTCACTAGGTGACACAACTACTGTGTTCATGACAAAATTTAACACTAACAGCAGCTTTGTGCATCTCAGAAACAATTTTGTTGCTTTTTATAGAGGGTGTGTTTGAGAAGAATGGTTTTGTTCTTTTGTATGACTTTAACTCAAGTAAAAAAAGCACTAGTTCAGAAACTAAACAGTGCTAAAGTGGGGACTTTGGGGAAGGGGTTGGAATGGGGGTGGGAAGAGGTGGGGCAGGGCCTCATGCAAGGGCTGGGGCTGGGGGGCTTTTGTATCTTTATATGAAAAGGTGTCAGTGATGCGGCCCTCGGGCCAATGTACTAGTCCTCATGTGGCCCTTGTGGTGATATGAGTTTGAGATCCCTGGTTTAGACAGTATGCTCTTGGGTGCAGGAACCACAATGCCTAGCATGGTGGGGCTCAATTCTTGCTTACTCCCTAGGCAGTACCATAATAAACATGATTAATAATAGTTCTGTATTACAGACTCTAAAGAGGAGAAGGAGGCTTTTGAAAAGGTCAGGGAGGAAACTAGTATCAGATGGGGAGGGAGCAGAGACAGATGAGCTCCATGAAGTAGGCTGTAGCTAATCCCTAGAGGACTTTAAAGAACAGTGAGGGCAATTTGGAACTAAATCCTGAAATGAATGGGATTCAGTGGAATTGCTGGAAAATAGGAATGATATTATATGTCTGAGTGAAGCTTTATCAGCAGCTTGCTGCTCATGCAGTATGCTGCAGAGGATGGGTGAGCTGGGCTGGGCGTTAGTTGTAGGCTACATCTACACAGCAAAAAAAAGACCTGTGGCAGCAAGTCTCAGAGTCTGAGTCAACTGCTTGAGCTTGCTCTGAGGGGCTGAAAATAGCAGTGTAGATGCTGGCCTCAGATTGGAGACCAGTTCTGAAACCTAGTGGGGAGGATATCTGAGTCTGTTGACCCAGGTTCTGAGACTTGCTTCTAGGGGTGGGTGGTTGGTGATGGTTTTTTGTCATTATTTGTTTACTGTGTAGATGTATCTATAAAGAAGGAAGTAAATATAACAAGATGGTAAGAAATAAAGGTTGCGATGGGGATTTCAGCAGAGGTGGAGTCAAACTAGTGGCATACACAGGGAAATATTGGAGAGGTGGTTTTAGTTTGAATCACTTCTGTCTTTGAGAGGAACTACAGGTTTATTTAGTCAGAAAAGGCAAGAGTGGATAGGGAAGCTGTGTCATGGAAGCCAAAACTTTAAGAAAACATGCAGTAAATTTGTCTGCCTCAGCTTTTGGATGCTTGAGGCAGACAAATCTTGTTTCTGATTTTCAGATAAGCTGAGGACCCACAGCTTGAGTTG